GGGGGGGCTGATTTTAACGTCAGTATATGTCACCCTCGGAATGATGAAATATTGATTCTTAACATTTTTTCTTAGTGTGCTTATTTTTCGAGATATTTGAAAGTTTCAGGTTAAAAAAAATCACCCTGTATATTCCGGTTCTTCATAAATTTTCTGAACTTTCTTAATAGTAAAACAACAGTAAATAATACTTCGAATGTGAAATTTCTCTAATGTAGGGGGGACAAAATATTTTATCTGTACACAAATGAATTGCTCATTATTGAAAGTGCACAATTCACGAATCAATCTTTTTGAAAAACAAGAATAGTCTATATATTCAAAAGAAAATTACAATACTACCAAATCGTAATTATATATGTGTTTAAAAGCCTCAGCCACAAATGAAAAGCACAGGCAATAGGAACAGGGAAAAACCTGTCAGAAACGTGTATTCTGATATACACGATTTCTGATAGATTAAAATCTGTTATTTCTTATTGCTTGTGCTTTTCAATTATGTCTTAGACATTATTTTAATCTCGATTCAATTATCTCTTTATATTTTTCTAGTTCTAAGAATTAGGAGAGATAAAGAGTAAGTCGAATCAAGATTAAAAAATTAATGTATATTGATAGAAATGAGCATTAGTTATACAGATCGACATAAATCGTTATATCTTTCTCGACATTCCTTGAGAAACAAAGAACAATAGTTGTATTGCCAAATAGAAAAAAATCTTAAAAAGCAAGCACCGAAATTACGGAGTCGCTACGGATACTTTTTGTGTTTACTTATAAAACAAAATATATACCTATATCTTGAATAGCGAGTCATCGCTCGTTTTATCTCGAGTATTTTCCCACTACATTTTTAAATCCCACAATACAATGAATATTTAACATGACAAAAAATATCTTTTTTTGAATTGCGCATTTTAATGGCTAAACAATATTATTTTTACGTTTTAAAGAACGGAATGCAATAGGTGTGTAACTAACGATAAAACTAACACAGTACCAATATGTCCACATGTAATGTGACCAGATAACACATTTCTATCTCCTACTCCGCCTAGATAATAAATTCTGTATTATGCCTCGACTTGAAGCAATTCGGAGCATTCGTCAGGTGGGGATAAATAGAACAAAGGGGGAGGGAAAAAGGCAACCTACCGCTGTAACATAAGGCAGCCATGATAATTGCGCGTGGTGTTTTCCTTGTTAAAGGGACGGGAGGAGAGAGATCAGGTGGGAGTGTGTATCTGGTGTAGCTGGTTGGGAAGGGCCGGTGATTCCAATAAGATCGTTCTTTCAGTAGCGCCAACGTAGCGTGCCGCAACTCGTACGAAGACGTAGAAGAACGTGCGATCCTCCCACGTGTAATCGCAACAAATCGATCAATATTCAACGTCTTTTCACGAGCTTCTGAGAGTTGACGATGATCTCTCGGTTCCACGTGTACCGATATGCGAACTGCATGCTATTATATAACATTAGCACGCTCCACCATCGAGACGACGGATCGTTTTCACGGATCAATTTTAATGATGCCAGTCTCGTAGGATTACCGGCGCCAAGCCACCGTTCCTTTTAGGGCACCCGCGTGCGGTTGTGCCCATGCACTAACAAACAAATGTCGCTGCCGCAAACCTCCGACGGATCAGTAAAGGGCTAAATCGTCGCCGGATTTCAGATCTATCTCCACAGATGTTTCGCTACAGTTCGTCCTGTGTTTCCTCCGTATGACGATGCTCGGCAAACTCGCTTGATATCCTGTTGTCCCTGTACCAGTAAACGCTCAGAGATTCCGACGGTCTTGCTGCTTCCAAAACACGACGCGAAGTGGTGGTATTTTGCGCAGAACAATGCGCAGCCACGTGTTTGCGTTGACGAGCGTTCAATGTAACGTCCGGCGATTTCACAGTAGCTTTTTATTTCTTATCACGCGTGCGGACCGTTCACCGCTTCTTTTTTCTTCGTTTTCCTTGGTAGTGCTACAAGATACGTACTACAAGGAACGTGAGAAAACCTGATGTTCTGTTCTCTGTGGAATTTTCCGGGGATTTGCGCGGGAAAACTGATAAGAGATCTCGAAAACAGGGAAAGAGATGTTTTTGCAGAGATCGATAAGCGGCAGTCGAGATATCAGAAAATAATGTGCAGAAGATACTGATAAGATCAAGATGTTGCGGTCTCCGTAGACGACGGTTAATTAAGCACTGATGTAGCGCGACAGATCGGCGAATGGCGATCGTGCAAATTGGACTTCGATGGCCTGTATACTGGCGAGAAACCGCTCCTGCTTATCTTTGAACTTTCCCCTCTGTCGCCTCTACTCCCTCCTCTCAATCTCGCCACTGACACCGCCATCACCCCCCTATCGTCGTCTATAAGACCGAAGCCATTCGCGTAGAGGTTAACCAGTTTGTCCCACTCTCTTTAACAAGAAAAAAAAGGAGAGGAGCGCGTGAGAGCGACAAAGAGTGCAGGAAAGAGAAAAAGAGTAGACATGCGTGCGCGCGTTTATTTGTTCTGCGTGTTTGTGTGCTGAACGGTACCAGTGGAAAAGAATGAAAGCGATAGGGGGATACGAAATCGAACGAAAATACCAGTTTTCACTTTTTTTTACGCAGTATGGAAAAATGCGAAAAGTAGGCAATTCTTAAGTTAATGCGCATTCACGCGCGTCTCGTGTCCTTTACCATGGCTCGCCGCTCGATCATATTTGCACACGCGGATATTGCAAAATATCACTCGAAAGCATAAAGCAGTTTTTTTTTGCATCTCGCTTCTCTGGAATATCGAGAACACTGGTATCCCTAGAGGGGTCCCGAGGTTCGTGACGCCGTGCTACGCGGTGGTTCTCTCTGTTAAATCTTATTTATAATAATGTCATTTAAAATGCGAGCGATACGACGATTGAGATTTCTTATCATTCACAGATACGATAATGTATGAAAATTATGTTATTAATGTTATATTAATTTGTAATTTATATAAACAGGAAGATCTTTGTGATTTAACTCCGGACATGAATTTTTTTTTTTCCGGAGCAAGTATAACATGCTATGATTATATTAAAGATTATGCAGATAAACTCCACGATACCATAAAACTAGTCGTTAGTAAGTAATCATGCAATTATTTTATAACATTTAAATTATTAGATGTTATGATAAGCATCATAAATTTCTGAAAAATTGTAGAATAAAACTTGAGAATTTCCTTTTAACTATTTCAATCGAACGACATTCGTTTAGTGGGCTATACTTTTTGCGACATACAATATCCATATCAATGTTTGTGATAGCAAAAGTAAAAAAATTAATTTGCCGAAAATGTAAATTTGGTTAATTTTACTTTAAAATATTAAACATGTTTCAACGAAATCTTCCAGAAATTTGACAAACCACGATGGATATCTTTAGCTGAGTATCGTGTATTCTTGATATGTTGTTAACAATAAATTTTCTCTAATCAAATTGGAGATTAAATTCGAGCAAGTTTTGTTACAATAAAAGTTTATTAATTTCTAATTACTATAATTTTTAATGTTAAATTAACATTACATACTATAAAAATATATTCATTTTTCAAAATAGCAATTTCCTTTATTCAACAAAAATAAACTCCAAATTTGATGACAAATGCTTTGTTAAAGTGTCATGAAAACTTAATTTACTAATAAAAAATTTAACAAAAATACTTGAATGTCAGTGAATTATTCAATTATATAATATAGATATACATCTCATATCAGTGAATTATTCAATTATATAAGATATACATCTTATTTATAAAATAACGTCGATCAAAAATCAGAATGACCCAAGATTAGAAATTACATTTCTAAATTTGTAATGCATTCTTGTATTTTATTACCGCATGTTACGATATTCATATTTTTAATATCATTAAGAAAAAAAGCAATATTTATAACATTTAATTTCCTGCTTATCTTCATATGTACAATTACTGTTTCTGCTTTACATTCTGATTTGTAATTCCGACTTGACTTTTCCCTGTTCTTAGATAACAACACGTAGATAAGTCTATATTCATACAAGATTTTTAAAATTGTATTTTTGTATGTTAAGCATATTCTAGAATAACAAAATTTTACATATGTATATTCGCACACAGATACTCAAAATTTTAAGACATGTACATGCTCAGTTTTTTATTTCATGTAAAACGAAATAGAATATCATTAAATTACCAATTTTTATCGCTCGTAGCAATATAAATATTTATCATTGATATAAATACCGTCATCGATTTATACACACAATTATGTATATTTTATAGTAAATTCGGTTGGACACACTATAATGCACACTGTGCATATAAAACATTTTTTGAATTTCAAATGGTTTCTAAGATATTACGAAAAAAATCCAAAAACCGCTTTATCCATAAGGGGTGATTTTATTCCTTAAAACAGTTTATCTAATACCAAAACCGTTTTCCATACTCTAACCGAATTTTCTAAATTCATCTATTTATGTGACCTATATGTTTAGTTATAAAGAAGTTTCCTGAAAACCAGAATTTGCAAGGTTCTTTTTCTCTCTCTCTCTCTCTCTCTCTCTCTCTCTCTCTCTCTCTCTCTCTCTCTCTCTCTCTCTCTCTCTCTCTCTCAAATTCGCTATTAAATAGACAAGAAACAAAAATAATATATTTACCTTCTTTAATCCATTCGTCTAATTTTTCTAAAAGCTGTTTTGCCACTTGTGCACGGGAAGGATGATCTTCATACATAACAGCTTCCGCAGTATTGTTAGAAATTTCTACAGAATGATCATCGAATAAAGGCCAATCGTCATCAATTTCTAATGACGGTGTCCCACTGCGGGACACCGGCTCGTACTTCCATAGCCACATCTCCTGGTCCTGACTGGATGACATTTTCGATACGAATCCAACAGAGGGGTTTTAAAGAACGATGAAAAGAAATTTTGGTCGGCTTAGCGACGTAGCTAGTAATGAACGCCATATTGGCACTGAAAAATAAATTATTTCCATGTTAATAACAAACCAAAGAAACGAACAAATAGTAAGAAGAAAAAATATAAATAACAAAAAAAATCATTTCTCTTGCTTGTCCATTTTTTAACCTATAAATAAGTATAGTGCTCAAAAAACCTCAAACAAATTTCATTTTTATAGTTATATTTTTTAATAATTGTCTAATTTTTGTCTTGTTCTTTGTTTCTGCACTGACCAACACTAATGCCCAATTTCTTCACTTCCAGATAAGTTGCGGATAACCTTATCCAGGAGATATCTCCATTGTATTCTAGGAGATATCTCTTGGATAAAGTTATCTAGAGGTAAAGAAATTGGGCGTAAGTCTCCATTTTTCATTATCTGTTTAACTTATGGTTAGGTTAGGTTAGGTTTAACCTGATGTTTTATCCAATGATCTTTATTTATGATGATGTCATGGGTGAAGTCCATTGGATAAAACATTAGGTTAAACCTAACCACAATATTAACCAGATAATAAGAAACCAGGCGTTCAGATCTGTTTTCTGTGGCTGATCTAATGTATACTTTTGCGTACACTAGTTAAAGTGAGATAGATATATGTTTGACATTTGGTAAAAGTGACAGAGTTTTAGTGCGGTCTAGTGTGGAAATAAAAGACCTTAACTTTCATTATTCTATAGGTGCTTCTGTAACTCAAGTTCAAGTTAGTTCCATTAGGATTGAAAAATATGATGATTACTTAATAGGTTCATGATTGATAACAACTCAACATTGTCTTGTACGTCATGAGTGGAATTGAATTAGCTAGTAGCAATGAAATTGGAGGAGCAATAAAAGGTAATTTCACAAAATTTTACAAATTATAAGATGCAATATGCTTTTATTCATTTATACTAAGATTCAAATTTACTTAAAGTTACAATCATGTAAAATTATCGTTTTAAAATGTGTTACTATAAATTGAAAAAATTTAACTATATTTAATTTCTCAATAAAAAATTTTTCATACATGAATATGTATACATAAATATGTATAAACATACATAAACATGCATAAATATTCATAAACATATGTAATTATATATGAAATATATCCATGTTTATACGTTCTTCTTTCTTTTATGAAATTACTTGTTAGTGTACTCTAAAAATAATAATGAGAAGACATAAAAAATAATTTTTCGCATTATTTTAGAAAAAATAAAATTTGGAGAAATGTGGAACTCGAACTTGAGTTATTAGAAGCACCTTCTGTTGCCACACTTCAAATATACCTATATCTATTTTATTTTACATACACACGACCTCACAAAATGCTTTTAATATGCCTTCTCATTCCTTCTCCGAAACTCGTACAACTTCATGTGTTGAGGCATTTGTGACATCATGTGTACAAGTGCAAATTAACTCAATTACAAAGAACAGATCTATACAGATATGTACATATATACTTAAGTGGTAGAAATTAATCGTTGATAATTTTAACCCTTACCGTACCATCACAATTTGGTGCCTCATTCATACCATCAAGGGTCACTTCAAATCTCTCCGTTTTTTTCTCACACCTCTTCAAAATAATTTTAAAAATCTCTAAAAATTCACCAACATACTTTCAACTTTCTAGAATAAATATTGACTCTTTATTTTGGAAAATAATAAAATGTAGTATAATTTATAATTACCGAAAGACTCAAAGAAACTTGCATGAACAGGAATCGCTCGGTCATTAGTTACCCATATTAGTACGGTAAGGGTTAATATTAAATAAAATGTAAATTTTGTTTTTTATATATTCAATTAAAATTCTATATTTTTTACATTTTTAATTATATATATATTTTTTTTTCACAAGTTTCGCAAATTGAATTTACACCCAGATGACGGACAGTAACGAAAATCTAATTTCCGAATCACCGGAAATCTCGGATGATTATTTCTCGCTTATCTTAGCGAAAGCTGATTTTTTTTTCGTATGCTGATTACGCTGAAAAATCAACCAACAGTTACATATTGATGTAGGAAGCATCATGACGCAATACGACATTATTGTCGGGCAACATCTTTTAGCGAGATCGGACAACGTGCACGGATCGCGACATTATGGCGTATTAATGTAATGCACGACTGGACAACGAAATGATGTAAAATGTCTCGTAACATAACAAGACATGGCCATCTTTCTATCGTGACAATTCATATTCGACGCGATGACTATGACTCATAAGATGGCTAACGAACCTCGTAGCAGGCACAAGAAACCAGAACCCTACGCGAAATATCCCAATAAGACAA